CCCCAAAACCCCAAAACCCCAAAACCCCTATCATTCTCCAGAATATTGAAGATAATTCGGGTCTCAATCTGGATTCATCCCTTTCTGAGCTCAATTTCTCTAGGCTAAGTGTACACTCACGCACTGGCTCCAGTCGCCACTGATGCATTGGTCAGATATGTCTGAGGGATCCTGCCTCCGCTCAGAGACTCGTGAGTTAGCTGCCTGGCTCTGATTACTCCACTGGAGAGTCCTTCACTCTGGCCACTCGGCAGGCCCCAGTCGCGGCTGCGCTTTCTAAAGTCATGCCTGTGCTTACCTAGGTTTGGCCAGAACAGTCACGGCTTCGTGTCTGGTGGAGCCTCCGTCATAGCTGGAGTTGACCTTGAGACCACCACTGAGTCTGACTTTGAAGCGAGAAGGATCACCTTTGGCGAGGGTCTGAGAGTTGGAGACAGTGAGATTAGTGTGGGCGTTGGACATGCTTGAGGAAAGGTGAGCAGGTTCTGAGGTGAAAGAAAGTTTGAAGGACCGATCTAAATTTTAGAGTAAACATACCAACAGGATCTAGTGACAATCCAGGAGACATTTTTAAAATGTCCACATTAAATATTGATCTTTTTGGTGCCAATCATCTTGACAATTCAGGCATTTCATGCTGAGATATATTTTCATATATTTTTATTTCATTGCCTTTATATTTATTTTCTTTCCTCTTTGCTTTCTTGCTAATTTTTTGGTTAAGTCTATGCTGTATTATTTATCTGCATACTTCTTATATCAATCTATTGATCTGGATTTGATTTTTCTACATCAGAAGGTAAGAAGCCGTCATGGACTCTTAGTATGAGCCATTATAGCTAAATCCTTACAAATGTTGCTGGATAATGTTGTATCTGGAGTTCTTGATCTTGGAAATACTCTTTTCATATCTAGAGTTCGATCTTGATTTTGTCTGGCAGATATTTTCCCATTCCTTTTTGGCAAGCTCCCTGCCTCTCTTTTTGGACAGCTTTATGATGTTTGATATCTTCTTGGCCTCTTTCTTTAGAAATTCTTTGTTAGGAATTTTTAAGAAGGTCCTGAGTGCTTTTAAGTTTAGTTCTCTGGTCTGAGATTTTGGCGCCTCTATTTTTGACACTCTCTGTTCGGACCGTTTCTGAATCAAAATTTGTAGAAACTTGTTTCTAATATTAGTTGATATTCTTTTGGTTCATCTGGTTGAGCTCAAAGAGCTTTCGGAAGTTGCAATCAGTGTTCTTAGCATCATCGGTGAAGATCTTTTTAAGTGCGCTCTCCCTCTGAATTTTTAGGTCTACAAACTCTAGCAACGATTTGAAGTCATATGGCTTAAAGAAGTTTTCAGCTTTGAGATCACCTTCACTAATACGTTTGTTGATATCATTCGTATTTGTCTTATTTCTTGATAATTTTCCTAAAGGCTTTGTTACCATCTTCTGAGAGGATAAACTGCTTGAACTCTTTAAAATCTAACTGATCTTTTCTGTGTGGGAGACATGACCCAAAGATATCATGGAGTTCTCTAGGGAATTATTTGGGTGCATTACCTTCTGTTGATGTATATTCCAACACTTTTGAACATCTCTTCTATTTCAGAAAAGTCAAGGGTTCCTGATTTATCTTCATCAAACTTGTTGAAGCAGCGTTCGATCTCGTAGTGGGACTCAAGTTGTTCTTTAGTATTCAGATATTCCACTTTAGCTGATCGTTCAAATCTCTTCTTGAGCCAAGTGATAGAATCTTGGCTGTTCAGCATATTTTTCATTTCAATTTCTTGGGTAAATTTTGGGGTTTTGGGGTTTTGGGGTTTTGGGGTTTTGGGG